GCTTCATTGTTCCTCGTGTTGCAACAAAACTTCCTATTACATCGCAAACATGAAGCAGTCTTTCCTCATTGACTAAAAGCAAATGTTCAGTCTTGTTCTTAGTCCAGTCTTATTATCGACTCAGCAGCGGCCGCCTGCCGCGGGGCCGCGCCACAGGATATGACTCACTACGTTGACAGAAATGTTGAAATTGAATATTACTTATACACATTTTTACAGCATTGAAATACGATAGGAATGTTTTTCCTCCTACAGAAACCACATTCAAACTAGAAATAAAATATAGCCCTCCCACTCCATTTTCAGACATTTTTGAAAAGGCTCCAGGAGCCACTGTAGGAGCACTAAAGGTTGCCGACCCCTGGTTTATACAGTATGTGGAAGCATACTGCATGCAGCATCAGGATGTCTACAGTTTCAACAATAAAACAAAGTGCAATAGTCTACATTACAAGAGTAATAAACATGTCTCAGAGTGAGGGAGGTGGACACAGACATGAGAATTGGTCAAAAAAGACTGAAATGCATAATGTCAGCCATTTGCTGGCTCTAAATCTGCTTAATTTGTTCACAACATTTTACTTTTGGGCTCAAACATGAACTTTTAATGCAATGGAAAATTTAGGTACCCGAGCTTTAATTTTGTCGCACTTTGAGAGGAGAGGGGAGAGGCGGACAGTTTTCTGCAGCGGTGTATTTATTGGGTGCACAAATTACGCAAATACACGCATGGTCCTGTGCACGTTTATGGTCTTGGGTACATGGGCACGTTGCGGCTACGCGCTCACCGTGTTGTGTTGTGAGCGGCTCCTGCGTCCAGCTCAGAGCCGCTGGATGCGGGAACACTGCGGCCGCTGAGGTGGTGGAATCCCGTTCGAGTACATACAGCAGGTTCCCCGCGGACACGCGCGCTCCCCTCGAACCTTTCTCAACGGATTTACACTTTACACTAACATTTTTTTTGTATGAGGCAAACAGACCGGCCCAAATATGGGCATCGGCCCTTCTGGCATTGCCCGGTACGCCCGATGGCCAGTCCAGCCTTGGATGAAGCCAAATCAGACAGATCAGCTAGAAAATCTCAGTGCTGCATAAAGGACCTTAAAATGTGGATGACTCTTAACTTCCTACTTCTCAACCCGGAGAAGACAGAAGTGATCCTACTCGGTCCGAAGCGCCTGCGTGACTCCCTCACTAACCAGATAATCACTCCGATAATGTCAGTATTATACCCAGTAACACTGTGAGGAATCTTGGAGTCATTTTTGACCAAGAACTCTCCTTCAAGGCTTATATAAGCCAAGCAACTAAAACGGCGTACTTCCACTTACGGAACATCGCTAAAATTAGGAATTTTAGGGCAGCGTGCCCTAAAGCGTTGTATTAAAGACTGCCTCTAAAAAGGTTTAATAGTTGTTCTGCATAGTTTAGTTTCTGCACGTAATATTGAGGTGCACCACTAGGGGCGCACTAGCGTGTCAACAAAGGGCAGCAGCACGGCTCAGATGTAGCTATAGCATCGGCTCTGCCACGGACTTTGGGTTTGTGTGAACAATTGCTGTGTGCGTCCATAAACGTGAGTAACCTTGTGTGCATCATATTGTAGTAATGTTTTCTACCTTAAGTTGTAGTTTCACCGTGTTTTGTGCAGTTTTAAGTTGTGTCCCTTTGCATGTTAAACCTACTAAGCGCCTCGTGGTTTCAATTAAGGCTTGTTATATATATATATTAACGTAGAACACACTTAGTACTGCTATCATTCAGTTTATATAATTTCCTAATTACATCCTGGATATTAAAGTTTGATTGCATTATTTAGTTCTTAGTTTAAGAGGTAATTCTTGCCTGTATACTGAACAGACTTGTAATATATTTTGTATTCTTTTCTGTGTGTCTTGTAGGAAACCACACACACACACACATGCCCACAAGCACGATTGAAGTCTGAATTAAAGGCACTGTTCTAATCATCTGGCTGTGGACATTCTCACCTCTCTCTCTACAATCACCTGAACATATAAATTCAAGTCCTAACCGACCCCTGTGTTGATTGTGACCTATCATTAAAACCAGCATACAGTCCTTCCTACAAGCGTCTTTGAAGAGCTTCCAGCTCGTTCAGAATACAGCAGCTAGGATCTTAACAGGTACCAAAAGGAGGGAGCACATAACTCCGGTGTTAAAATCACTCCACTGGCTCCTGTGGAGTACAGAATAAAGTTTAAAATCCTTCTCTTAACATATAAAGCCATAAATGGCTTGGCTCCTTCTTATCTCCAAGACACGTTAGTGTCGTATCAACCAAGTCGAGCGTTGCGCTCACAAAACGCCAGACGTCTGGTGGTTCCTAAGGTCTCAAAGGTCACTGTTGGTGGCAGAGCATTTAGCTCCAAGCTCCTTTACTGTGGAATCAGCTTCATTTATGTTAAGGAAGCAGATACGGTCTCCACATTCAAGGCCAGGCTTAAAGCACTCTACTTTAATTTAGCATATAATTAGGTAATATATAATATATGGTGTATATATTATATATTTATGCTGTATTATGTTATATATTATGTTATATATTATGTTATATATTATGCTGTATGTATTATATATGATATATATGGTATGTATGGTATATATGATGTATATTATATATAATATATAATTAGGTTTGCTTGGATCGGTTTGCACACCTGGTGTGTAATCCATGAACCTCTTTATTCAAGGCTAGGTTTAAAACAGTCCTCTTTAGTTTAGCATATGGCTAGGAAGGTAAGACTCTGGGAAGGCTAAACTCCTCTGACTGTCAGTCAAGCTGCATAGGGAGCCCCCTGCTGGAGAAGTATGGTAACTTGAGCACTATCCTCTCCTCCTTCCTACTTTATCTACTTTATCTGTTTAGCATTTTTAGGATTCTGACTGTAGTTTGTTCATTGCTATTCACCCGTTGTCCCATTGTCTGTTTCATGGTACGATGACGGGATCTCTGAGCCTGGCCTCCTCCATCTACACCTGCGGACTGCCCCGCCCGACCCGCCTGGGAGTGCTTCGGTCCTGCACCGGACCTGTCCACGTTCAGCGGCCACTGGTCCACGTTCTGTAGCTAGCTTAGGTCCTAGATCATTAGCCTGTCCGTCCGGAGGAGCGGATCCCTTTCTCATATGGGTCTCCCTCCCTGTGGGTTTCCCTAGTTCTCCCCAAGGTTTCTCACTTTTTCCCACTGGGTTTTTTAAGAGTTGTTCCTTGTGGATGCAGGAGGGTCTTGTTGGACAGTTAGTGTCCAACAGAAAGGATTGGTGATGATCAGGACACTTTAGCATTCTACAACATGTATGGACATTTTCTTCTGTGTGTGCTTTATATTCTTCATGTGTTTTAACTGTTGATTCTCTGACCTGTGTTGGTGATTTCAATGGTTTTGTTAAGTCTCTGAGATGATACTGTTGTGACCTAGGGCTATACAACAATACATTGGATTGTATTGTATTGTATTGTGTCAATAGTAGTGCAGGTTTTCACAGTGATCATTTAAAGTGACTTATTGTACAGTCTGACAGCGGTGGGGATAAAGGCCCTGCTCCTTCCTACACTGAGGGTGTCTCAGTCTTCCACTGAAGGAGCTCCTCAGCTCCTCTACAGTCCTGTGCAGTGGGAGGTGTTGTTCATGATGGAGGTGGCTTTGGCTAGCACCTCCTGTCCCTCACCTCCTCCACAGAGTCCAGGGGCCTCCTGTCCCTCACCTCCTCCACAGAGTCCAGGGGCCTCCTGTCCCTCACCTCCTCCACAGAGTCCAGGGGCCTCCTGTCCCTCACCTCCTCCACAGAGTCCAGGGGCCTCCTGTCCCTCACCTCCTCCTGACCAGCTTGTTCAGTCTGTTTCTGTCCCGCTCTGTGCTGCCCGGGGCCCAGCACACGGCAGCGTAGTAAATGGCAGAAGCTACCACAGAGTCATAAAAAGTCCTGAGCAGAGGCCTGCTCACTCCGAAGGACCTCAGCCTCCTCAGAAGGACCTCAGCCTCCACAGAAGGACCTCAGCCTCCTCAGAAGGACCTCAGCCTCCTCAGAAGGACCTCAGCCTCACTATCGACACTATCTAAATGACTTAGATAGTGTCGTCTGTAATAACGGCTTTTGACGTCTGCAACAAGCACGGTGTAATGCGGCAGTTTGGAGGTAATTAGCGCGGATTGTGACTGACGCACAAAGGAGCTGTCACGTCCGCTCACGTCGGGCCTCGCGCGCAGGCCTCGTGGACACGCTTCGTGCACAGGCTCCGATACCCGGATGAAGACCGTTAAACCGATTTGACACACTTCATTAATTAACGTAAACGACGTGACAACAGCTGCGCGCGCCCAAAACACAAGCAGCAAAAACATATGGAGCCGATCTGCACGAGGCCGCGCGCCAAATACACGCACACACACACACACACACAGACACACGCACGCGCGCGCACACACGCACACACACACAGACACACACACACAGACACACACACACACACACACACACACAGAGACACACGCGCACACACACACAGACGCAGACTCACACATACACAAAGAGACACACGTACACAGAGACACACGCGTGCGCACACACACAGACGCAGACTCACACACACACACAGAGACACACGCGTGCGCACACACACACAGATAGAAACATACAATTACACACCTACACACACACGCTCATATATTGGTTTGAATGGGAGCAGTCAAACTGACGGTTCTGGGAGTTCTAGTTTCTGGGAGTCCTAACTGAACGTCAGACACGCACGTGCACGCGCGTCACCCGCCAGCACGCACAGGGCACAGTGGGACGTTGTGATGAGCAGGCCCCGCCCCTGCTCTGTCCTCCGCTGCTGATTGGTCCCCGAGGCTCTTTCAGAGCTGCTCTCATGGCCCTCCTCCACACGCTATAAAAGCCCAGTGCGCGTGAGGCGTGCCAAACTACGGTCACGCGCCCGGACTAACAACAGGTGGATTTGTGCCAGACTTTACTCCATCACATCAGCATCATCTCTGGTAAGATCTGCTCCCATAGATCTGCTCCTGTAGATCTGTTCCTGTAGATCTGTTCCTGTAGATCTGCTCCTGTAGATCTGCTCCTGTAGATCTGCTCCTGTAGATCTGCTCCTGTAGATCTGCTCCTGTAGATCTGCTCCTGTAGATCTGCTCCTGTAGATCTGCTCCTGTAGATCTGCTCCTGTAGATCTGCTCCTGTAGATCTGCTCCTGTAGATCTGCTCCTGTAGATCTGCTCCTGTAGATCTGCTCCTGTAGATCTGCTCCTGTAGATCTGCTCCTGTAGATCTGCTCCTGTAGATCTGCTCCTGTAGATCTGCTCCTGTAGATCTGTTCCTGTAGATCTGCTCCTGTAGATCTGTTCCTGTAGATCTGCTCCTGTAGATCTGCTCCTGTAGATCTGCTCCTACTCTCACAGGGACAACTGTGTCTCCTCTGTCTCCTTTCGGTCTCATCTGTCTCCTCTGTCTCCTCTCTGTCTCCTTTGTCTCCTCTGTCTCCTCTCGGTATCATCTGTCTCCTCCCTGTCTCCTCTGTCTCCTCTTGGTCTCATCTGTCTCTTCTCGGCCTCCTCTGTCTCCTCTGTCTCCTCTCGGTATCATCTGTCTCCTCCCTGTCTCCTCTGTCTCCTCTTGGTCTCCTCTGTCTCCTCTGTCTCCTCTGTCTCCTCTTGTCTCCTCTTGGTCTCCTCTGTCTCCTCTCGGAATCATCTGTCTCCTCCCTGTCTTCTCTGTCTCCTCTGTCTCCTCTATCTCCTCTTGGCCTACTCTGTCTCCTCTTGGCCTCCTCCAGGTCTCCTCCTGGTCTCCTCTGTCTCCTCCCGGTCTCCTCCTGGTCTCCTCCTGGTCTCCTCTGTCTCCTCCTGGTCTCCACTGTGTTCTCTGTCTATAATTCAAACTGAATTGTGAAGACTTTTCCAAACTTAACCCTGTGTCATTCACACCTGAGGAGTTTTAAAAACTCTCTCCTCCCGGTTCTTTTCTGTACTTAAACCGTCCCTCCCCCGTGTCTCTCCCGTATCTCTCCCGTATCTCTCCGTACTTAAACCGTGTCTCTCCCGTATCTCTCCGTACTTAAACCGTGTCTCTCTCCCGTATCTCTCCCGTGTCTCTCCGTACCTAAACCGTGTCTCTCTCCCGTATCTCTCCGTACCTAAACCGTGTCTCTCTCCCGTATCTATCCGTACCTAAACCGTGTCTCTCTCCCGTATCTTTCCGTACTTAAACCGTGTGACTCCCGTATCTCACCGTACTTAAACCGTGTCTCTCTCCCGTATCTTTCCGTACTTAAACCGTGTGTCTCCCGTATCTCACCGTACTTAAACCGTGTCTCTCCCGTATCTCACCGTACTTAAACCGTGTCTCTCCCGTATCTCTCCGTACCTAAACCGTGTCTCTCTCCCGTATCTATCCGTACCTAAACCGTGTCTCTCTCCCGTATCTTTCCGTACTTAAACCGTGTGACTCCCGTATCTCACCGTACTTAAACCGTGTCTCTCTCCCGTATCTTTCCGTACTTAAACCGTGTGTCTCCCGTATCTCACCGTACTTAAACCGTGTCTCTCCCGTATCTCACCGTACTTAAACCGTGTCTCTCCCGTATCTCTCCGTACTTAAACCGTGTCTCTCTCCTCAGCCCCACGTCATGGAGTCCGACACCAGCCGTGTGTCCAGCAGACCGTCCTCACCGGAAGTGGATGACCTCTTCATGTCCACTCTGCGGGCCTCCCGCGGGTACACCGGGGCCGTGTCGTCCACGCAGAGTGACCCTCTGGACGTGGGTCTACGGGGCTTGTCCCCGGAGGAGGAGGAGGAGCTTGTGCGCATGTCCAAGAAAGACCGTAAGCTTCTGTCGGAGAACGAGCTGCAGTCCATCCGTCTGAAGATCAACAGCCGCGAGCGGAAGCGCATGCACGACCTGAACGTGGCCATGGACGGTCTACGGGAGGTCATGCCGTACGCGCACGGGCCGTCCGTGCGGAAACTGTCCAAGATTGCGACGCTGCTGCTCGCGCGGAACTACATCCTGATGCTGAGCAACTCTCTGGAGGAAATGAAACGTCTCGTGAGCGAGATCTACGGCAGCTCCGGGCACCACGCGGCCTTCCACCCGCCCGCGTGCGCTACCATGACGCACGCACCCGTGGCCACGCACCCCACGCCCGTGCCCACGCACCCCACCGTGCATGCGCTTCTGCCGCCCGTCTCCACCTCGTCCCTGACCGCGCCGCGCGCACCGCACGCGCTGCTCAAAGCGCCGCCGCCCGCCAGCTTCCAGCACTGGGGCGTCAGCGGGATGCCGTGCCCCTGCAGCATGTGTCAGCCACACCTGCCCCACCTGCCCCCCATGAGGCTCGCGGACTCCAAGTGAGCGCGTGTCTCACAGACTGTGACGTCATAGAGATATTCTATATTAGAGTCTCATGTACATACATTTACAGATATTTATTTACTATTTTGAAACGGTTTCTGCTTCTCATGTTGGGACTGAGTGTGAAATAAACACGTGACACTAAACTGCTGTCTGTGCTTTCTGACTCCGTGACATTACTGTGTAATAATACTCTGTAATAATACTAACATTACTCTGCAACATTAATCTGTAATAATACTCTGTAATATTACTATTACAATGCAACATTACTCTGTAACGATACTCTGCAACATTACTATGTAACAGTAACATTACTCTGTAATATTACTAACATTACTCTGCAACATTACTCTTTAATAATACTCTGTAATATTACTCTGTATTATTACTATGCAACATTACTCTGTAATAATACTAACATTACTATGCAACATTACTCTGTAATAATACTAACATTACTATGCAACATTACTCTGTAATAATACTCTGTAATATTACTTTGTATTATTACTCTGCAACATTACTCTGTAATAATACTCTGTAATATTACTCTGTATTATTACTATGCAACATTACTCTGTAATAATACTAACATTACTATGCAACATTACTCTGTAATAATACTCTGTAATAGTACTTTGTATTATTACTCTGCAACATTACTCTGTAATAATACTCTGTAATATTACTCTGTAATACTACAACCCTAACCCTAAGTAATTATTTATTGAAGTGAATATGACGCGCGCGGCCTCAGAGGCGCGCGGCCCAAAGGCCTTGATCTGAAACACTTTTATTTCTTTCTTCTTTTCACCAAATCAAATATATATAATTATATATATTATATTCATACAAATTAAATAAACACGGGCTTGTCTTAGTTTAATACAGATTATTAATAAATAATAATAATAATAATGATAAAAATAATGATAATGATAATAATAATAATAATAACAATAATGATAATCACAGATTTATTCGCAGTGTTTAAATTTAAACATAGCGGTTTCAAAATGTTTCTACATTTTGGTCAAATTATAGTTGTTTATTGTGAGCTCGTGCTGAAAGTGTTTGAGGCGCGGCTTCAGTGGAAATATCTCGTTAATACAAATAATCTAATAATACTGATAATATAATAATACTGATGATATAATAATATAAAAATACTGATGATATAATAATATAATAATACTGATAGCATAATAATATAATAATACTGCTGATATAATAATATAATAATACTGATAATATAATAATAATACTGATAATATAATAATATAATAATACTGATGATATAAGAATATAATAATACTGATGATATAATAATATAATAATATAATAATACTGATGATATAATAATATGATAACACCGATAATATAATAATATAATAATACTGATGATATAATAATATAATAATACTGATGATATAATAATATAATAATACTGATAGCATAATAATATAATAATACTGATGATATAATAATATAATAATACTGATAATATAATAATAATACTGATAATATAATAATAATACTGATAATATAATAATATAATAATACTGATGATATAAGAATTTAATAATACTGATGATATAATAATATAATAATACTGATGATATAATAATATGATAACACCGATAATATAATAATATAATAATACTGATGATATAATAATATAATAATACTGATAAAATAATAATAAAAATAATAATAATATAATAATACTGATAATATAATAATAATGATAATAATAATAATAATAATAATGATAATAATAATAATAATAATAATAATACTGATAATATAATAATATAATGATATAATAATACTGATAATATAATAATAATAATAATAATACATTTTATTTATAATGCACTTCACAACAAAGTAAAGTCAGCAGCATAGTTAAAAACATAACACATATAAAATAAATATACAAATAAAGAGACTAAGAAATGAGCTGTACGCCTTGAGGTGGTCCGGGAGGGCGGTCCACAGACGGGGAGCAGAGGCCTCGAAGGCCCGGTCCCCCATGGTCCTGAGCCGGGTCCTGGGCAGGAGCAAACGGTGCTGTTGGCCTGACCCGGGTCCTGGGCAGGAGCAAACGGTGCTGTTGGCCTGACCGGGTTCTGCCTGGGGAGTGTGGAGTGAGGAGGTCAGTGAGGAGGTCAGTGAGGAGGTCAGTGAAGACTGTGAAGAAGTGCATCACCGCAAAGGAGGATCTTGTATTCTATACGGAGGTGAACAGGAGCCAGTGGAGGTGCAGGAGGTGTAGTCTATACGGAGGTGAACAGGAGCCAGTGGAGGTGCAGGAGGTGTATTCTATACGGAGGTGAACAGGAGCCAGTGGAGGTGCAGGAGGTGTATTCTATACGGAGGTGAACGAGAGTGGTGAACGGAGGGAAGCCAGTGGAGGTGCAGGAGGTGTATTCTATACGGAGGTGAACAGGAGCCAGTGGAGGTGCGGTCTATACGGGTGACAGCGTGGGGTGCAGGAGGTGTATTCTATACGGAGGTGAACAGGAGCCAGTGGGGTGTGCAGGAGGTGTATTCTATACGGAGGTGAACAGGAGCCAGTGGAGGGGTGCAGGAGGTGTATTCTATACGGAGGTGAACAGGAGCCAGTGGGGGTGCAGGAGGTGTATTCTATACGGAGGTGAACAGGAGCCAGTGGAGGTGCAGGAGGTGTATTCTATACGGAGGTGAACAGGAGCCAGTGGGAGGTGCAGGAGGTGTATTCTATACGGAGGTGAACAGGAGCCAGTGGAGGTGCAGGAGGTGTATTCTATACGGAGGTGAACAGGAGCCAGTAGGAGGTGCAGGAGGTGTATTCTATACGGAGGTGAACAGGAGCCAGTGGAGGGTGTGCAGGAGGTGTATTCTATACGGAGGTGAACAGGAGCCAGTGGAGGTGCAGGAGGTGTATTCTATACGGAGGTGAACAGGTGAGGGCAGGAGTATTCTATACAGTGAGGGGTGCAGGAGGTGTATTCTATACGGAGGTGAACAGGAGCCAGTGGAGGTGCAGGAGGTGTATTCTATACGGAGGTGAACAGGAGCCAGTGGGGGTGCAGGAGGTGTATTCTATACGGAGGTGAACAGGAGCCAGTGGAGGTGCAGGAGGTGTATTCTATACGGAGGTGAACAGGAGCCAGTGGAGGTGTGCAGGAGGTGTATTCTATACGGAGGTGAACAGGAGCCAGTGGAGGGTGTGCAGGAGGTGTATTCTATACGGAGGTGAACAGGAGCCAGTGGAGGGGTGCAGGAGGTGTATTCTATACGGAGGTGAACAGGAGCCAGTGGAGGGGTGCAGGAGGTGTATTCTATACGGAGGTGAACAGAGCCAGTGGAGGGGTGCAGGAGGTGTATTCTATACGGAGGTGAACAGGAGCCAGTGGGGGTGCAGGAGGTGTATTCTATACGGAGGTGAACAGGAGCCAGTGGAGGGTGTGCAGGAGGTGTATTCTATACGGAGGTGAACAGGAGCCAGTGGAGGTGCAGGAGGTGTATTCTATACGGAGGTGAACAGGAGCCAGTGGAGGTGCAGGAGGTGTATTCTATACGGAGGTGAACAGGAGCCAGTGGAGGGTGTGCAGGAGGTGTATTCTATACGGAGGTGAACAGGAGCCAGTGGAGGTGCAGGAGGTGTATTCTATACGGAGGTGAACAGGAGCCAGTGGAGGTGCAGGAGGTGTATTCTATACGGAGGTGAACAGGAGCCAGTGGAGGGTGTGCAGGAGGTGTATTCTATACGGAGGTGAACAGGAGCCAGTGGAGGGTGTGCAGGAGGTGTATTCTATACGGAGGTGAACAAGAGCCAGTGGAGGTGCAGGAGGTGTATTCTATACGGAGGTGAACAGGAGCCAGTGGAGGGTGTGCAGGAGGTGTATTCTATACGGAGGTGAACAGGAGCCAGTGGGGGTGCAGGAGGTGTATTCTATACGGAGGTGAACAGGAGCCAGTGGAGGTGCAGGAGGTGTATTCTATACGGAGGTGAACAGGAGCCAGTGGAGGGTGTGCAGGAGGTGTATTCTATACGGAGGTGAACAGGAGCCAGTGGAGGGTGTGCAGGAGGTGTATTCTATACGGAGGTGAACAGGAGCCAGTGGAGGCTGTGCAGGAGGTGTATTCTATACGGAGGTGAACAGGAGCCAGTGGAGGGTGTGCAGGAGGTGTATTCTATACGGAGGTGAACAGGAGCCAGTGGAGGTGCAGGAGGTGTATTCTATACGGAGGTGAACAGGAGCCAGTGGAGGTGCAGGAGGTGTATTCTATACGGAGGTGAACAGGAGCCAGTGGAGGGTGTGCAGGAGGTGTATTCTATACGGAGGTGAACAGGAGCCAGTGGAGGGTGTGCAGGAGGTGTATTCTATACGGAGGTGAACAGGAGCCAGTGGAGGTGCAGGAGGTGTATTCTATACGGAGGTGAACAGGAGCCAGTGGAGGTGCAGGAGGTGTATTCTATACGGAGGTGAACAGGAGCCAGTGGGGGTGCAGGAGGTGTATTCTATACGGAGGTGAACAGGAGCCAGTGGAGGGTGTGCAGGAGGTGTATTCTATACGGAGGTGAACAGGAGCCAGTGGAGGTGCAGGAGGTGTATTCTATACGGAGGTGAACAGGAGCCAGTGGAGGTGCAGGAGGTGTATTCTATACGGAGGTGAACAGGAGCCAGTGGAGGTGCAGGAGGTGTATTCTATACGGAGGTGAACAGGAGCCAGTGGGGGTGCAGGAGGTGTATTCTATACGGAGGTGAACAGGAGCCAGTGGAGGTGCAGGAGGTGTATTCTATACGGAGGTGAACAGGAGCCAGTGGAGGTGCAGGAGGTGTATTCTATACGGAGGTGAACAGGAGCCAGTGGAGGTGCAGGAGGTGTATTCTATACGGAGGTGAACAGGAGCCAGTGGAGGTGCAGGAGGTGGATTCTATACGGAGGTGAACAGGAGCCAGTGGAGGTGCAGGAGGTGTATTCTATACGGAGGTGAACAGGAGCCAGTGGAGGTGCAGGAGGTGTATTCTATACGGAGGTGAACAGGAGCCAGTGGGGGTGCAGGAGGTGTATTCTATACGGAGGTGAACAGGAGCCAGTGGAGGGTGTGCAGGAGGTGTATTCTATACGGAGGTGAACAGGAGCCAGTGGAGGTGCAGGAGGTGTATTCTATACGGAGGTGAACAGGAGCCAGTGGAGGTGCAGGAGGTGTATTCTATACGGAGGTGAACAGGAGCCAGTGGAGGGTGTGCAGGAGGTGTATTCTATACGGAGGTGAACAGGAGCCAGTGGAGGGGTGCAGGAGGTGTATTCTATACGGAGGTGAACAGGAGCCAGTGGAGGTGCAGGAGGTGTATTCTATACGGAGGTGAACAGGAGCCAGTGGGGGTGCAGGAGGTGTATTCTATACGGAGGTGAACAGGAGCCAGTGGAGGTGCAGGAGGTGTATTCTATACGGAGGTGAACAGGAGCCAGTGGAGGGTGTGCAGGAGGTGTATTCTATACGGAGGTGAACAGGAGCCAGTGGAGGGTGTGCAGGAGGTGTATTCTATACGGAGGTGAACAGGAGCCAGTGGAGGTGCAGGAGGTGGATTCTATACGGAGGTGAACAAGAGCCAGTGGAGGGTGTGCAGGAGGTGTATTCTATACGGAGGTGAACAGGAGCCAGTGGAGGGTGTGCAGGAGGTGTATTCTATACGGAGGTGAACAGGAGCCAGTGGAGGTGCAGGAGGTGTATTCTATACGGAGGTGAACAGGAGCCAGTGGAGGTGCAGGAGGTGTATTCTATACGGAGGTGAACAGGAGCCAGTGGAGGGTGTGCAGGAGGTGTATTCTATACGGAGGTGAACAGGAGCCAGTGGAGGTGCAGGAGGTGTATTCTATACGGAGGTGAACAGGAGCCAGTGGAGGTGCAGGAGGTGTATTCTATACGGAGGTGAACAGGAGCCAGTGGAGGTGCAGGAGGTGGATTCTATACGGAGGTGAACAGGAGCCAGTGGAGGTGCAGGAGGTGTATTCTATACGGAGGTGAACAGGAGCCAGTGGAGGTGCAGGAGGTGTATTCTATACGGAGGTGAACAGGAGCCAGTGGGGGTGCAGGAGGTGTATTCTATACGGAGGTGAACAGGAGCCAGTGGAGGGTGTGCAGGAGGTGTATTCTATACGGAGGTGAACAGGAGCCAGTGGAGGTGCAGGAGGTGTATTCTATACGGAGGTGAACAGGAGCCAGTGGAGGTGCAGGAGGTGTATTCTATACGGAGGTGAACAGGAGCCAGTGGAGGGTGTGCAGGAGGTGTATTCTATACGGAGGTGAACAGGAGCCAGTGGAGGGGGTGCAGGAGGTGTATTCTATACGGAGGTGAACAGGAGCCAGTGGAGGTGCAGGAGGTGTATTCTATACGGAGGTGAACAGGAGCCAGTGGAGGGTGTGCAGGAGGTGTATTCTATACGGAGGTGAACAGGAGCCAGTGGAGGGTGTGCAGGAGGTGTATTCTATACGGAGGTGAACAGGAGCCAGTGGAGGTGCAGGAGGTGTATTCTATACGGAGGTGAACAGGAGCCAGTGGGGGTGCAGGAGGTGTATTCTATACGGAGGTGAACAGGAGCCAGTGGAGGTGCAGGAGGTGTATTCTATACGGAGGTGAACAGGAGCCAGTGGAGGGTGTGCAGGAGGTGTATTCTATACGGAGGTGAACAGGAGCCAGTGGAGGGTGTGCAGGAGGTGTATTCTATACGGAGGTGAACAGGAGCCAGTGGAGGTGCAGGAGGTGTATTCTATACGGAGGTGAACAGGAGCCAGTGGAGGTGCAGGAGGTGTATTCTATACGGAGGTGAACAGGAGCCAGTGGAGGTGCAGGAGGTGTATTCTATACGGAGGTGAACAGGAGCCAGTGGAGGGTGTGCAGGAGGTGTATTCTATACGGAGGTGAACAGGAGCCAGTGGAGGGGGGTGCAGGAGGTGTATTCTATACGGAGGTGAACAGGAGCCAGTGGAGGTGCAGGAGGTGTATTCTATACGGAGGTGAACAGGAGCCAGTGGAGGTGCAGGAGGTGTATTCTATACGGAGGTGAACAGGAGCCAGTGGAGGGTGTGCAGGAGGTGTATTCTATACGGAGGTGAACAGGAGCCAGTGGAGGGTGTGCAGGAGGTGTATTCTATACGGAGGTGAACAGGAGCCAGTGGAGGTGCAGGAGGTGTATTCTATACGGAGGTGAACA